AATATCAATGCGATGGTTCACATGAACATGAGCCCGCCGAAGGCAGCCAAACCAAACAAACCGGATTTTACACAGAAAAGTTTGTGTCAGTCATTCTCGAGTCTTGGTATCCACAGAAATGGTTCACCAATGTTCCTGATCTCAGCTCAGTGTCGACACTTGTCAGAAACGGTCAGAAAGAACCAGTCAAAGACTCGGTGGTTGAAAGATGACAAGGCAGTCAAGGCTGTAGAAAAAGAGGCCTTAGGTCTTCGATTAAATGGAACATGGGATGACACAACGGTCATTCCATGTCATTCCTCTTCACCTGTTGAAACGCCAAGCGCGAAAGACCGGTGAGAATGTCAAGATTGCTGAAGTCTTGGCGCTGGCAGGTATAAAACACCATGCGATGCCTGAAGAATACCACCAATACAAAGGACGTATTGTGCATAGGGGTGACAGAACAAACAATCAAATGGGTGATCATGTTTTCTTCTCGGAAAATGAAACTGCAACCACTCCAACTGCTATAGCCGCGCTCAACTTGACATTTTGGCACGGTGCAATGTCCATTGTTTCATGTGCAGGCTGCATCCAAGCATACTTGCAATGCAAGTTGGATGGCAACACGTGGGTTATATTACCCTTTGAGCTATGGTTACCAGACTGGAAAAAGCAGTGTGGCCCAAACACAAAGTTGGCTGTGAAGTTGATAAAATCACTTTATGGCCATCCACAAAGTGGAAATCTGTGGCAAAATTTTCTCAAGACATCTTGCGACACAACTACAAGAAATGGGTGGTGTCCCACTCGAATCATACCCATCCAGTTTTATTTTCAGGCATGGTGACAACCCTGAACACACGCTCATCCTAAACATCTATGTGGATGATCTTACCTTAGCAGCGGGGAACAAGGAAGTCCAAACGCAATTTTGGAATGATTTGAAGCTCAGAGTGAAAGCTGATCCTGAACAGTATATTGATGGGAATGGTGTGAAGATTCTTGGTCGGGTACACTCAATAAAAAGGAATCCAACACAAGTTGTCATGACATATGACAGGAGATCATATTCAAAAGGGATAATTAGCTTCTACTGCGAAATTACTGGCATGAGACAAGAGAAGCTCCGTAAAGTGAGCACGCCGTGTTTGCTGCAGAATCAGATGACAGATGATGAACTGGCTCATGAGGGTGAGATGCACACATTTGCGGCAAGGATCTTGATGAGGTGCCTCTGGTTATCACGTCTTGCTAGACCTGACATTAGTTTTGCAGTACAACGATTAGCTAGTCGAAATATTGCGACTTGTGAGTTACCCAAACTCAACATGTGAATACGTCAGGCGTGCTGCAGTTGAACCTGACCAAGCACCGACGTTGCTGGTATACACTGACAGCGACTTTGCATCCTCTCCATACGCATCAAAGAGCAACTTCTGGTGTTGTATATGTCCTTCAAACTGGTTCATCATATTTCCCACTACTATGGTCCTCAAAGAAACAAAGTTCGACCGCGAGGAGTACCGCAGAAGCTGAGCTCATTGCATGCGCAAGCGCATTATCCGGCGAAGCACTCAATCTTCATACAATGATTGAATCTTTAACTGAGGTTCGTGTTCCTGTTTCCTTTCAACAGGATAATCAAGCTGCCATCACAGTTTTCCAATCTGGATACAGTGCAAAGCTCCGTCACCCTGGACGAGCCCACAGAACCACAGACTCAATGTAGCATCCATCCACGAACAACTGGATCAAGGTGTTTTTGATTTGGATGACTATGAAACAACAGCTCAGTTGGCAAACAGATTCACAAAAGTCATTGGACAGGCCGACTGGCAACAGACGCTCAAACAGCTATGTCTTGCTCCTCATGATTGAATTCAAAGAAAGTCCCGAAATTGGCCAGGCAATACTTTGCTTTGGTCCCTGAAATCGTTTGACCATGTGCGTGTACAGATCGAGGGGGGAAGTTATTAATTTGCAGGTGAAACCACGCCATATCATGACGTCCTTTATGCACATGTGTCATGTACCTCATTTTGCTGATGCGACTTTGACTTTACATTTTGGCTCAAGAACTGGCTAAAAAATCTAAAAAGGTGTTTCGCCTGTGCTGCTGGGTCTTGAGGAAACGCATATAACGACCACACTTGGGCTGGGTGGGGGGATTTTATCTATTTTAAGTTTTAAGCCTTTCTGCCATTTTCTTGGACGCTTGGAGTCTTGAAGAGCAAAAGATAGCAAAAGTCTAGATTCACGGTCTTTGCCAATAGCATGCTGTTCACAGTACAACCCAAGTGTTTGTCTTTATTAGTCAGTCCATTAGAGGAATTCTTGCTATACACGTGCAAGAGGATGCGTCGTTTTCTGATGTGGAGTTGAGATGGATATAGACTGATATGGATGAATTTAATGGCAAACTGGCAAACATGTGGGAGAGCAACAGCCGGGGTGAACGGGCATCGTCACCTTCCAGCCAAACTTTCAGCTGAGGCAGCTCAGCAACATCCCGCCTCCAAAAGAATGATCCGTATGTCCAAACGTTGGTCTTGCGTGGGGACCTCTTGTAGAGACCTTGTGCGGAGATCTTGTATAGAGTATAGAGATCTCTGACAGAGATCTTGATTTTGTTCTGTTACAGACCTTTGACTAGAGGTGTTTTGTAGAAAGCTTGTACAGAGATCTTGGCAAGAGAGTTTTTCCCCACATCATTGTGTGGGGCTCTTGTTTTTCTATTGTCAACTTGTGCACTCCCGTCTGCTTCTCCTCCTCCTTCTCCTCGCCTCCTTGCCTTTCACGCACAACAACTTTGCTACGCACACACACGCAACTCTTTCACACACAATTTTGTCACGCACACAACTCTCTCACACAGGAGTGGCTTTTGGCGACATCCATGCTCACTTTGTCTGGCAGGCGTGGCACTTGGTGACATCCATGTGGCTTTTGTGTGGCCGGCGTGGCACTCAATTACGGCACTGGCTCTGGTGGCACGCCTTGGTCGGCATTGACGCTGGTGACGCCGTGGTACTTTGTGTGGCAGGCGTGGCAGTTAGTGACATCGACGTCACTAGTGTGTGGCAGGCGTGGTGCTTGGTTACATTGACGTCGCTTTTGTGCGGCAGACGTTGCGTGTGGTGACATTGACGTCACTTTTTTCTGGCAGGAGTGGCACGTCTGGTGGCGCTGACGCCGGTAACGCCGCAGTACTTTGTGTGGCAGGCGCGGCACTTGCTGACATTGACGTTGGTGGTGTTGGTGGTATTGGTTCTGTTACTGAGCTATTGCTGTTGCTGTTGCTGTTGTTGTTGCTGGTGTTGCTGTTGTTGTTGTTGTTGCTGCTGCTGCTGTTGCTGTTGTTGTCGTTGTTGTTGTTGTTGCTGTGGCTGTTGCTGTTGCCGTTGCTGTTGTTGCTGTCGTCGTTGTCGTCGTCGTTGTTGCTGTGGCTGTTGCTGTTGCTGCTGCTGCTGTTGCTGCTGTTGCTGCTGGTGCTGTTGCTGTTGCTGCCGTTGTTGTTGTTTTTGTTGTTGTTGTTGTTGTTGTGTTGGTGGTGGTGGTGGCGGTGGTGGTTGTTGTTGTTGTTGTTGTTGTTGTGGTTGTTGTTTGGTTGTTGCTTGGTTGTTGTTTGGTTGTTGTTTGGTTGTTGTTTGGTTGTTGTTTGGTTGTTGCTTGGTTATTGTTTGGTTGTTGTTTGGTTGTTGTTCGGTTGCTGTTCGGTTGTTGTTCGGTTGTTGTTCGGTTGTTGTTCGGTTGTTGTTCGGTTGTTGTTCGGTTGTTGTTTGGTTGTTGTTTAGTTGTTGTTTGGTTGTTGTTTGGTTGTTGTTCAATTGTTGTTTGGTTGTTGTTTGGTTGTTGTCCTGTTGCTGTTCGGTTGTTGTTCGGTTGTTGTTCGGGTGTTGTTTGGTTGTTTGGTTGTTCTTTGGTTGTTGTTTGGTTTCTGTTTGGTTGTTGTTTGGTTGTTGTTTGGTTGTTCTTTGGTTGTTCTTTGGTTGTTGTTTGGTTGCTGTTCGGTTGTTGTTTGGTTGTAGTTGTTGTTTGGTTATTGTTTGGTTGTTGCTTGGTTGTTGTTTGGTTGTTGTTTGGTTGTTGTTTGGTTGTTGTTTGGTTGTGTGTTCGGTTGTTTTTCGGTTGTTGTTCAGTTGTCGTTCGGTTGTCGTTTGGTTGTTGTTTGGTGGTTGTTTGGTGGTTGTTTGGTGGTTGTTTGCTGGTTGTTTGATGGTTGTTTGGTTGTTGTTTGGTGGTTGTGTGGTGGTTGTGTGGTGGTTGTATGGTGGTTGTGGTGGTGGTGGTGGTGGTTGTTGCTGCTGCTGCTGCTGCTATGTTTTTGATTTTTGTCGTCGATGCTTCGTTGATGCTTGGTGTTGCACTGGTGCACTGGATGGACTAGGGGACCACTGCTCCGCCGCCATGCTAAAATTATTGGTTCGGTGCACAGTTGATTCTTTGCAGCAGCTGGCTTGCCTCGATGCAAATCGATGTTCACGGCCCTGATATGCCCTGATCCTTTGGGCCAGCGCAAAGGATGTGTAGATATAGATGCCCAAATGATTTTGGAGATATGCGCGCACGATGTCCGCTAAATAACATTTACAGCTGTGCACATACAGAGAAAGGTGTTCGACCTTGGACACGAAGCTGCAAATTTAGGATTTGGATTTTAACCGCGTTTTTCTTTGACTGTCTTATTTTGAACCGTACACAATAGAGACTTACTTCAACTATATAAGTTTTTAAGAAAATGTTTGTTTTTTGGGAGTAGGCTATTAAGTTACGTATATACATCGAATTAACAACATTTGTTCTGAAGTCTCCTGCGCCATTGTGAGTTGGGTGGTGTTTGAGGCCTTTTTTGGATCAATGAACGCAGCCTTTGCATGTGCACGGACAATTTGGCGGCTTATGATTCCATTATAAATTCAATCCGCATCAATAAATATCACTGAATTACAGCAGTTTGATGCACCGTTTGGTTTTGTTGTTGCTGTTTGATTTTTTTGATTGAAGTGCTGTTTGAGGCCATGAAGCGCATTTGTTGGGACATGCAGCAGCGGATATTTGTGACGCAATGCTTCATGGACTAGAAGCTTGTCACGCCCGTGGTGTCACGCACTTGGATTTAAAACCTTCTGCAATTTGGGAAGTTGCTCAACCTGCGGGGGTTGTTGTGAAGATCTTGGATTTTGGTTTGGCAAGGCTGGCAAACTTAGCTGTCCTCCCTGCGGATGCCAGACCTTTCTTCCGCCCAGCAGCGGGCGGGGCGTCTTCAGACGACATCCCAAAGCATTTGCAGTTTGACGATGCATCTGCAAGCGAACAAAAACTACCAGTGCCACATCCGAAAACGTTTGATGCAGTGGAAATGTGGATGCCCTTCGCCCCGTTTGCATACTTGCCAGGGGTTGGTTCATGTTGGTACATGTCACCAGCCCGCTGGTGCGGTTTTGCAGCAGCCTCAAAGCATGCAAATTCTGCGCCACCTGAGCAGCGGTTGTGCAACGTGCCAGCTGGCAACTTGTGGCAAGAACGTGACAGGACAACTGACAAACTCGGTGTGAGCAGAGTGACGCCAGCTTCTCCAGCTGTTCAGGGCGCCAGTGTCACCATGCAAGTGCCTGATGGCTTTTATTTCGAGGTGCAAATCAGGAAAGTGTGGCCAGCTGCCATGCTACCGCCTGGCACAGATTTGGCAGTTGGTCCCGCACTGGGTTTCACACGACTTCCTCCTGTCAGCGGTTATTCGGCTCTGAATGCCAAAGCGAAGGAGTGGCCTCTGAGTTGGGTCATAGGATATGATGGACGTTTCTATCGAGATGGTGTTGAGGTCATCCAGCCGACATTGAGCTCAGCACCATTTGCTGTGCAGGAATTTCGCCGTCACAGGGATGCAAAGCTTGCAGCTGCAGGAAGCGGAGAAGCAGACATAGATTGGCCAACTGGCCCGCTCGGATGGTCCTTTGTAGAACTGCTGAGGGATGATGTCGTGGGGCTCTTTGCCAAGAAATGTGGGGAGCTTGTAGTCTACGTGAATGGAAGGGTGGTATCGAGCGTGGTGACTGAAGGCTTTGACACTGGTTGCCCTCTGTATCCCCTTGTGGAGGTGTGCGGACTTGCACGGGATGTGGCGTTTGTTTGCAGCCCTCCAGGGCCAGGAAGCGAAGAAGACCAGGAGGACAGGCTGCGGAAGGTCGATAAGTTGGTGTCAACGGTGGAAAGTTTGGCAGCGCGCTCTTCAAGTTCAACTTCAGATGTGTACGCAGCAGCGCTCATTGCCCAACAAGTGTTCCAGAGCCACATTTTGCCGCAGGTCCCACCTTCATTTGTGAATTTACTCGTTGCCACCCAGTTGTGGCTTGAGCAAGGTCGACCAAACATTTCTGGCCACAATGGAATGCTGATCGCTTTGAGTGATTGGGCTCTTATTGTCCAGGAGCAGCCCCAAGTCTTTGGGCAGCACATTTCCCCTCAGATTCAGGAGGTTCTCGAACGAGTGTTTCAGTCCAGCAGTTTGCAGGCAGAAAGCAGAGCTATCCGCACAGCTGAGGAGTTTCGTGCAGCCCTCAGTGAGAAGACAGCTTGTAGTCACGTGCCCCCAGAATTTCTGCGAAGCCATGTCCAGCAAGCTGCGCCAGCCAAGAGGCGCTGGGGGTTGCCAGGATTGTCAGGTCTACCTGCAGGTGGTGAGGGAATTCCTGAAGATGGAGCAGTTCTTTGGGACCTCACACCATGGACGCTGTCATCTTCACATGTTCGAAGGGTGATGGTGGTGCTACAATCGCAGGATGGTCTCAGGATTAGTTCAGTTAACATTGGCAAGCTTGAAGCAAATATCCCAGACCAGCTGCTGTCGCACTTTGCTGAGTGTTTTGAAGGACCAAGTGGCCGCAATGCCAGTTTTGAGAGGCGAGCATTGCCCCGATTGCTGTTCCGCGACTCGCCTCTGCCGAGCGAAACTTGTCCAGCGTCCTTGGCCAATTTGCTCGAAGCAAATGTGCTGGTTCTACTTTTCCATTTTGTCAAGCGTGTTCAGTTGCAGGAGAACCCTTCAGACCCGTTTCCAGGCACATTCACTGGCTTGTCGGCTGCAAGAATGATTGGATCTTCCCTTAGAGAGAATTGGGCTCTGGAGGAGCTAAAGGCCAATAACTTGGGCTTTGAAGATGCCGGTCTAGATTGCATCAGTGAGGCCTTCACCCACGGCTGTCGCTTGCGCAGACTCGAACTCAGACAGAACAGGATTACCTTTGCTGGAGTCCAAGTACTAGCTCAGGCTTTGACGAATCCGGGCTGCGCCTTACAGCACCTAGAGCTTCAGGGCAATGACGTTGGTTGCGCAGGGTGCACATGTTTGGCGGAAATGCTGAAGGGGAACAATTCCTTGGAATACCTGGGGCTCCAACAAAACAACATCGGAGTCAATGGGGCTGTGAGCCTTGGAACTGCTCTTGTAGCCAACTCACGCCTAGAAGAGTTGGACTTGGGCCGAAATGTGGTTGGAGTTGCTGGTTGTGGCGCGCTGGTGGCTGCCACGCGTTCAAATTCTTGTCTTCAGAAACTGAATTTGCAAGACAATCAGTTGGAGATTTTGGCCGGGACCACTTTAGCGGAGGAGCTTAGTGCAGGACTGCAAATGGACCTTGATGGTCTTTTGGACTCTGTGCTGCCAACGCAGTCCTTGGCAAAGCGCTCCTTGGCCAAGTTCAATTTGGCAGAAGCGCCCTCTGGTAGCCAACTAGTCAGCCTCAACTTGCGTCACAACGACTTGGGCAGTATTGGTGGTGCAGCCGTGGTAGCAGCCCTGCAAGTCACTCGCACACAATTGTCGGAATTAAATCTTGCTTGGAATGGTTTGGGTTTGGAGGCCGCAGCAGCTTTGTCCAACCTTTTGGGCCCACACTCTTTGTGTATCCTTACCAAGCTTGATTTGAGAGATAACCGGGGACTCGGGGCAAGTGCAGTTCTTCCGAAGGCTTTGCATCGCGCGGCATGCTCCGAGAACAAAGATCAATCCGAAAGGAAAGCATCGAAAGAGGAGCGCAGAGAGCCTCCCCAGCACCTTCAGAGAGAGTCTGCTCAGCACCTTCGATGGCTGAATCTAGCAAACATCGATTTGGACAGTGAAGGGGCTTCCCTCTTGGCTCCTGCAATGGTGATGTTTTCCAATTTGGAAGAGCTGTACCTGTACAACAATGAGGGGCTCGGGCGCACGCCCCGAATGATTGATCTTGAAAACTGGGAAGCGAAAGAACAGAAGCCTATCAAAGTGGAAAGAGCTCGTGGAAAAGGTATTCTCCGCCTAGCACGTGCTTTACCCCATAGCCTCAAAAAACTTGCTCTCGGGTCTTGCGCGCTGGGCCCGCGTGTGGTCACAGAGTTGCTTCCCATTCTGTCCGGATTGCCTTCGTTGGAACACCTCGGTCTTTGTGACAATGATTTGAATGAAGATGGAGATCAGCAGCGAACTCTCCTTCACACAGCAATTTGCAAACTTCTTCAATCAGGAGTTTCAGTTTTCAAGAGATTGGACATCTCTTTAAACGACTTGCATGATGAATGTGCAATTGCAATTCTGGTTGCTCTGGCGAAAGAACAGCGAGATATTCGGATCGATTTCGGAGCCAACAAGGTGTCGGCCGAGCTCCGGGAAGTCGTGCATGGATTGCGAGCACATGCTAGGAAAGACCAGCCTCAGGCACGGGCTCTGGAATTCCCTTGTTTTCTTTTGTTAACCTTTGAACGCATCAATCTGGAGCAAGTAGAGAAGACTCTCACATATACAACCGCGCAAAACCGCCACCTTTTTGGGTGTCAACTTTCATGCAGCCTATTTTTTGCAAAAGTGTAAAGAGCACTTTGTAGTCGATGCTTAGCTTCTGTTCCAAGTGTCACGTCCTTGCAGTCTTGGCAGGTTCCAGAGCATCTCCTCCCGCAGGATCTTCTGCATTCACCCTCATGGGTGTGGGACTGTTTGCGGATTTGAAGCCTTTGAAGATTTGAAGGAGAGACAGTGAGAGACACATGCAAACATGTCCAACCTGTGTTTGGTTCGGTGTTGGATCTCAGTATGATCTCAGTGTATCACGTCCTAAGGCTCAATCTTGGCCACAAGGAGTGTAAGTGTATATATAATTATATATATATACACATAATCATAAACATATACAGTGTATATAATACCAGTAGTACCGCACAAGGCGGTGGCGGAAGTTTCAAAAATAGGAAGCCTATAGGAGAGGTTGGTTGTTGTGAATCACGGATGGCAGAGCGAAGCCACTGATGGACCGAAAGGTGATTGATGTTTCCTCTCTTTCTCTCTCTTTCTCTGACTATCTACCTACCTACCTACTCATCTATCCCTCCGTGAAAAGAATTCTCTGTGTACAAGCTTGTCTATGTAAAGACTTCTGTGTGTAAAGGACTTCTGTGTGTAAAGGCTTCTCCGTGTAAAAGCATCTGTCTGTAAAAGCTCCTCTCCGTAAAAGCTTCTCTGTGTAAAAGCGTCTGTGTGTCAAGGCTTCTCTGTGTAAAAGCTTGTGTGTGCAAAAGGTCCTCTGTACAAAGAGTTCTCTGTGTCAAAGCTTCTCTGTGTAAACGCGTCTGTGTAAAAGCTTCTGTGTGTACTCGGGTCTGTGTGTAAAAGCTCCTCTGTGTAAAAGCTTCATAAAGCTTCTGTGTGTAAAAGCTCCTCTGTGCAGTGGCTTCTGTGTAAAAGCTTCTTTGTGTAAAAGCTCCTCTGTGTAAAGGCTTCTCTGTGTAAAAGCCAAAAGCTCTTCTATGTAAACACTTCTGTGTGGGAAAGCTCCTCTGTGCAAAGAGTTTTCTGTGAAATGCTCTTTTGTGTAAAGGCTTCTCGGCGTAAAAGCTTCTGTGTGTAAACGCATCTGTGTGTACTGTGTGTGTGTGCAAAAGCATCTGTGTGTAAAAGCATCTGTGTGTAAAAGCTCCTCTGTGCAATGGCTTCTGTGTAAAAGCTTCTGCGTGCAAAAGCTTTTGTGTGTAAAAGATTCTGTGTGTAAAAGCTTCTCTGTGTACAGGCTTCTCTGTGTAAAAGCTTCTCTGGTAAAAGCCTTAAAAGCTCCTCTGTGTAAAGACTTCTCTGCGTAAAAGCTTCTGTCTGTACATCAACTTGTGCTTACGTGGTGGTTTGGGTTGGTGGTTTGGAAGTCTGGGATTGATGTTTTTGTGAATATAGAAAAAACAAAAATTATCAATCTCTGTAAACAATGAAATCGTTGGAAATAAAGAAAACAAATTTAAAACAACAATGATTGCTACCAGATTAGGTTTGTTTTTGAATTTATATTCATCTTGTATCTCGGAAAATATACACTTATTTAATTTCCAATAATTTCACGTGATGGTTGGCTTGATTATTGAATTCCCGAGAGCGTTTGAGCGAAGGGTTCTTCTAATAGTGGGGGTCTGTCAAACATGTTCACATCTTCATATCTTCACATCACATCTTCAAATCCTCACATCTTCTCATCTTCACATCCTCACATCTTCACATCTTCTCATCTTCACATCTTCTCATCCTCACATGTTTTCATCCTCACATCCTCACATCTTCACATCCTCAAATCTTCACATCTTCTCATCTTCACGTCTCCTTATCTTCACATCTTCACATCTTCTTATCTTCACCTCTTCACATCCTCACATCTTCTCATCCTCACATCTTCTCATCTTCACATCACATCTTCACATCTTCTCATCTTCACATCTTCTCATCTTCACATCTTCACATCCTCACATCTTCTCATCCTCGCATCTTCTCATCCTCGCATCCTCACATCTTCACATCCTCAAATCTTCACATCTTCACATCTTCTCCTCTTCACATCTTCTCATCTTCGCATCTTCTCATCTTCACATCTTCTCATCTTCACATCTTCACATCACATCTTCACATCTTCTTATCTTCACATCTTCACACCCTCACATCTTCACATTTTCTCATCCTCACATCTTCTCATCTTCACACCACATCTTCACATCTTCTCATCTTCACATCTTCACGTCCTCACATCTTCACATCCTTACATCTTCACATCCTCACATCTTCACATCTTCACATCTTCACATTCTCTCTTGCCTTCTTGCTCTCCTGCCCTCTTGCTCTCTTGCCCACTTCTTTTTCCTTCTTTTCTATTTCTCACTTAAGGCGCGGGGCAGTGCCAACGAGACGGGGCGAAATGCAACCCTTTCGCACGAAACGAGGTTCGATCGCCAAAAACTGAGGTGAAATTGCGATTTTACAACCTCGGCGACAACCTTTTCGCACGAAATGAGAGATTACACTCCTCACGGATCTGGGCACACGGGCACACGGCCGATCCACGGGCACACGAGGAATCCACGGGCACATGGGCACACGGGCACACGAGGAATCCACGGGCACACGGACACATTGGCACACGGGCACACTGGCAATCCACGGACACACGGGCGCAGGAATGAACGAAACTCAGGTAACATGACGGAATAATGACAACATTGCGGCGGCATAACGGCGAGCCCACAGAAAGGAATCTACGGTAGACGGAGCCAAAGCGACGCATGAAGAAATTACTTACGATCAAGGCAAACAACAACATTGCGCTGCACGCAAACAACACGGCAAGGACAGCGACATGCCATGTCGACATTAACATTAGATCAACGCATCACAGCACAGCGGAACAAAGTTGCATGGAAACAACAAGGCAACCACATAATCATGCGACAAGAAGGAACGTCAAATAAACACCTAGGTATACAACGACGGGCAACGAGCTCATGCTGCTATGAAATCACGCTGCGGCAACCGATTGGCACACAGACAGACAGACAAACAGATAGATAGATGGGTAGGTAGATAGAAAGACAGACAGACAGACAGATAGACAAACAGATGGATAGATAGATAGATAGATAGATAAATAGATAGATAGATAGATAGATTAGATAGATTAGATAGATTAGATAGATTAGATTAGATTAGATTAGATTAGATAGATAGATTGGATGGATTGGATAGAATGGATAGATTGGATAGATTGCAAATCCAGGAATGATGGTGTCTTCGAATCCCTCTCAAGCTTCTATGGATGTGGCTGTAAGTATCCTGAGGTTCGTCCAAGGTGGTGTTGTAAGTAACTGGTACGGTTTAGGCTGCCCTTTGCATTGCGGCTATCCTGCCTGGCCATCCCTGTTTGCTTCGCTCCTGCGTGGCTTGATTCTTGGATTTGCCCTTGCCACTTTCCTGTTTCTTCATTGTTTGGGCTTCCGTGTTCAATCCACCACCACACCTTGGACTGTTTCCTCATCACCTGCAGCCACTCGGTTGTCTAGGTATTCACCCCGCTTCGCGTGGGGTGGCCGCCCACACCGCAGGTTTATTTCGGTCCGTGAGAGGGGCTAAGGGTGGTTTTCCCCCGTGGGGGCTCCCCAAGCTAAGAATTTTCACTTTCCCCCTCCGTGGGGGCTCCCCAAGCTAGGGAATTTTCACTTTTCCCCCCCGTGGGGGCTCCCCAAGCTAGGGAATTTTCACTTTTCCCCCCCGTGGGGGTTCCCCAAGCTAGGGAATTTTCACTTTTCCCCCCCGTGGGGGCTCCCCAAGCTAGGGAATTTTCACTTTTCCCCCCCGTGGGGGCTCCCCAAGCTAGGGAATTTTCACTTTTCCCCGCCGTGGGGGCTCCCCAAGCTAGGGAATTTTCACTTTTTCCCCCCCGTGGGGGCTCCCCAAGCTGGGGAATTTTCCCAAGCTAGGGAATTTTCACTTTTCCCCGCCGTGACAGCTTCCCAAGCTATGGAATTTTCACTTTTCCCTCCCTTGGAGGCTCTCCAAGCTGCGGAATTTCAAATAGCTAGACAACGACGCTTAGATAGTCCCCCAAATCCCGTGTTCTTTGAATGTGTTTCCATGTTTTTGCAATGGTTTCCTTCAAAGCACGGTACTTTACACTTTTGTCGCCATAAAACCGGTCGAAAACATCATGTTCGACAATGCTTCCAATTCCCTTATCTCCCCAGCCGTTGAAAATACCGCTATTTACAGTGTTTTCTTCAATTTTTCCATGTGCCAATGCCGGTAGCCAACTCCAACATATATATAAGAAATCCTTCCAAAACATTTTTTTTGACAGTGTTTTTCCAATGTTTCCAGTCAAACAGACGGTAATTTACACGTTTTTTGCAATAAAGGCAGTAAACCCTTCCAAAACATTGCTTTTGACAGATTTGACAGTGTTTTTGTAATGTTTCCAGTCAAGCATACGGTAATTTACACGTTTTTTGCTATAACGTCAGTCCAAAACACTTGTTTTTGCAGTGTTTTCAATGCTCTGGCATCCAAAAACCCTGCAAAATCTTGCTATGTACAATTTTTTTTTTCATTTTTGGCCGTTTTTCTATTGCCGGAAAGCTACCAAAATGACCCAAAATTCCATTTCAATACCCTCTTGCGCTCAGACACCCAAAAATCCTCGAAAAATGTCGAAAACACCACCGTATTCTGGTCTCGGTGCGAAACCGTTTTTGGGGTCTGGTCTCGGTGCAAAACCGTTTTTGGGCCCCCCCCCCCCAGCTAAAGCTGATATAGCGACTGCTATATTAACAAATGTCATTGAGCATTTAGTGTTGCTGTTGCCCCCCAATAAGCACGCCTTCACCGCCAAAGCGGTGTGGGCGGATTTGTATGAGCAACCACGACACCGACAGTGACTGTGTGGAATTATCCCTTCAACTGTCTGGCTTGGCAATTACCATCCGTGGTGCTCCTGATCGTGCTGCTGATTTCGTGCGTCGTGTGTCTGACTTTTCAGCACCTTCCTCTGCACTTCCTGCCAGTGTATCTAACCGTTCTGGCCTGCCTGTTCCCTTGGATTCTGCAACCACTCAGGCATCAGTGCAAGATTCTTTCCTGCCTTGTCCCGATACTGCTTTGGCTTGCGCTGCATCCCACCTCAAGTCTACCCGGGTTTCTTCCTCTTTGCGAGCCGAACGAGCCTGGTTGGCTGGACAGTGGGCTTTGGCCGCCATTGAAGGCAGAATCACTGAGATCCCTGCCACTCCTGAACTGGGACTACCTCAGAAATACTGGGTTGTGCTCAAGAGCCCAAGGTGCCGAACACCACGCCTTTTCCAGCAGTTTGGACTGTTCACTCAAGAGGCAGGCTCCTTGTCTGTCCCAGGTACCATTGGCCACGAATTTGCAACCGAAACTGAGGCATTCATTTACTTGGAATCAGCAGGTTTCAAACACCAAGTGCAGTATTACAACTAAATCTAGGAGAAATGGCGGAAGAACGTGGATCAGAGTTGTTGCACAACTTCGTTTTGCAAGTGCTGCATGTTCCAGAGGACATGGTAGATGTGAATAGCTCTTCCACAGTCCTAGCACTCGTAGTGTTGCGAAGACAGCACGGCGCGTTGTTGGCAGTGCCTACCGATGTGATCATGCCAGCCATTTTGACTGCAGGCCTGAGTGCATCCACAGTAGACCTAATAGGTATGTCAACACATGTAACAGTACCTGCTGGGCTTTTGGAAGATCTCAATGCAACCGCGCCACCACGTCCATCAGAAGGAGATCTTGTCGATGTGCTTTTGGTAGACGTTTCCGGAGAGGTTCTCGAAATGATCCGACCTTTCCAAAACAGTGGAATTTCAGAGGACGTGGTGCATCCTTTCAGCTTCGTGGATTCGCATTTGATTCTGATTCCCGAGGATCTAGCAGCTGCAGCTTGGGAGTGGATCCAAGACCCAGGGTCTGCAAACCTCCTGGTGTTTTACACTGCAGACGAGGGAGACACAGTTCCCGAAACTCCCCGACCAGAGATACCATCACCAAAGCGGGCAAGTCGAGCTCGTGCTCAACAACCAGATGGTGGAGAGCCAGGCAGAGGCTCAGGGACGTCAAAGCGCCCGACCGTTGCACAACTGGCATCATCTCTGGATCAAGTGAATCAGACTTTGCCTCAGGTTGTCGATCAACTCAGAGTCCTGGTAGAGCGTCAAGATGCGATGGAAGCTCAACTCCACCGAGGTATGTCCCGACCATCAGCATTGCAGCAGCCACTTGGGTCGTCAGCTATGAATGGCTCACAGAGAGTCTCCTTCAACCCGACTGCACTGGCACGAGAGTTCCCACCTCCGAGAAGTTCATCGATGCGTGGCAGCCCTCCTTCGCCTCGCAATTCCCAAGCTGCCATGGAGGCCTTGCAACTGGAAGAAGAGAAGACAGTGGAGCCTGGGCAGTCGGATCTAGCCCGTGCAGTCCTGGCTCGATCCCAGGCCCTGACGACATTGGTGACTCAGCTGGCCAGTGGGGACCCAATTGGAGATCTTTCAACTGGCTCCCACACTTTATCGACAAAGGGTGCTCAAGGGAGAGCCAAACTGCAGCAGGAATTGGCTGCCAACAAGGGAACCTTCTTTCAGAGCGTGCTTCAGTCTATGGCACGCAGGATGCAACCTTCGAGGGCAGCAGATCAGAGCCCTCAGGAGCTGGCTGCTCGAGGAGTGTGCCCGACGGCATACCTAGAGAGATTCAGGGGCTATGGCAAGGCCCGAGATCTGGGATGCCTGCAGTGGCAAGTTTGCATGTTGCTGGAACACCTCCAGAACGACAACATCCATGGTGCCAAGGACACAGCGGCACTGCTAGCAGTATGCATCGAACAAGCTGCGATGGATGGCGGGAGACTGGACATTGGGATGCTTCTCTCACTTTCAGAGG